AAAATCAAACACAGTGATACCAAAATAGTCTATTTATGGACAATTTCCCTTCAAGTTCTCTGTTGTGTTCCTTCTGTTCTGTGAAATTATTCTACATCCCATGGAAACATTGCTTCTGACAGAGGTCGCTTGGTCTATGCATGGAAGAGTGAAACCAGGACTGTAAACACACAGTGGCTAATGAATTCAGTTAACCTTGTAGCTTTCACCATCTGAATACCAGCCCTGGTCCTCATCAGAGATACTGTTCCTGCTAAATTGCCATCCTAAGTCCAGACCTCAGGTTAACAACACAGTGGCTTTGTTCTGAATCACAGTAGTGTGCATGAATTTGGGTAGCAAATAAAATGTGAAGCTATAACTCTCTTCATGTCCTGTCTCTTCTTAATAAAGCTATGGGAATGGCCTGAGTTTTGTTACTACCTCAAATCTTAGGGTCTTTAGAGAATTTGACTGAGGCATGTCACTGACACACTGACCCCAAATTTGTATGTGCTGTAAGCAGCTGATTTGTAGGACTGGAAAGAAAGCCTGACACATCCTGTCATTCACCAATAATTAACTGTATGTCTGTGGCTTCTGTATCACACTTCCCCAGGTGAATTGTAATACTGAATGGTAGCAGTGAATGTCATCTGTTGGAATAGGAAGTCTCCAGTCCATGGCTTTACCCATTTCTAATTCTGAGCTTCCGTGCTCATTACTTGTAAGTATCACTCAGGAAAGAATGGCTTGTCCCAGGCAGGGCGATGCTGGAAAGTCCTAACTCTGGAAATTCTCTTTTCAGATGCTGTCTTTGCATTTCAGTTGTGTAACCCAATGCAAAACGGAATGCTCTGCTAATGCAGGACACCCACAAGCAGCTTTTAGAGAGGGGCTTCTGGATGAAGCAGCATGCTTCAGTGCTGGAAGAGGGTATCTTGAACCATAAAACAACAGTAGTGGCCGTCTTTTTGTCTCCTATGATGTATGCTGGGCCAACTGAGGAAGGCTGCTTGTAGGATGTCAGTGCAGTGCTAAAGTCACTGTTGTGAACACCATAACCTCACCACCCTTCCTGTTGGCTTTTCCCTGATGGCTAGGTGTGTTCCAAATATTCATTACTTCTGAGTACTCTCCTACTGCTGGAAATGTCCTCTAGTGCTGCACCCCGTGGGCATCCTGTTGTTGGGAAGCTTGAGAGAGGTTTCTTTGCCTCTTTTTATGGTTCTTGATCCAAACTGTGAGGAATATATGGAAGCTAGAACAGGGAAGGTTGTTTTGTGTCCACCAGCCAAGGTCCAGACACAGTTAAAGACAACACTTCTGTTATGACAAATCTTTCTGCCAAAAGCCGCCTGAGCCCAACCGCCACCTGTGAGCTTTACACCAGCCGCCTGCCTGGGATAGGGCCCAAATGAACACACAGAAACTTACATTAGGTTCAAAGCTGCTTGGCCAATGACTAGGATTCCTTATCTGTTAGCTCAGTCTTAATTATCATAAATCTTTATATTTTATAAGACTTATCTTATCGGATGCCTTATTGGCATCCCTCATTGCCTGTGGCTCACATCCTGCCGCTGGAGGAGGCAAACAGGAAAAAAAGGGCCACTTCCTGTTTCCTCACTTAGATATGAGTCTCCTTGCTATATCACTTCCTGCCTGGATCACCACTTATCTACTTAATTTCCCAGAATCCTCTTTGACTCCTAGTCCTGTCTAATTCCCTGTCTTCATTGGCCAAACAGTATTTTATTTAACAATCAAGAAGATAAACATACACAGAAGTACATTCCCCATCATCTCCTCTTTTCTGTCTAAATAAAAGAAGGATAACTTATCATTTATAATAACTGAAGAAAACTATAACCATAACTATCTGACTTCAACTGTGAAAAAGACCACAGAAGGATAATATATAAACTCTAGAATTGACAGAGACATCTGGCTACCTGGACAGTCACCCAAAGTTCTTCTGTAATGTTGGGGCATCCATCTCCAGCCTATAGCCACAGTGTGTCTGGAAGACTTCTATTTCAACAGGAACCCTTCAGTACTGTCTTGTTTTGTAAGTTCAGCAGTCACTTTCTTGTGGGTCCTGCATGTCTAGTTTATACAGCAACAAACAGTCCAGGAAAGAGCAGTTTCTTGCCCAAATGGCTAATCTTGTCATGTTGAAAGCAAACTCCATAACGAGTTTCTTCGATGTCCATCCTCCGTTTTGACGTAATTGGTGTGCCAGGAGCAGTTGTGTTTTACTGACAAGAAAAACCCTAAATCATTTAAATGTCATATTTCCGTTGGTCTTTGAAAGGTTTGAAGAATACCTATTCATCTCAAATACATCTCTGTATATCTAGAAAACCTAACTAACCTAATTATAAGTTCTGACTATTATAGGAGATCTTCTAACCTGTATTTAATTATGTATAACATTTTAAAAGATCTGTATAAACACAATACCTAAACAAGAGGAGACATATACATATCACAAAATAGACCTTAAAGTTGTATCAATAAATGAAAATCCATAACAATGTGAAGTATTCATTCCTATATCTTATTTCCCCTTTTCGTTCTTTAAAAAGATATTGACTATGCTCATTATCATTTATAACCAACCCCATTTAAATGAAAACAAACATTTATAAACAATATTTGGGCTGGGCGTTGGTGGCACACGCCTTTAATCCCGGCACTCTGGAGGCAGAGGCAGGCGGATCGCTGTGAGTTCCAGGCCAGCCTGGTCTCCACAGCGAGTGCCAGGATAGCCTCCAAATACACAGAGAAACCCTGTCTCAAAAAACCAAAAAAAAAAAAAACCAAAACAAACAAACAAAAAACAATATTTTGGGATATGGGCATCATTCTTTTCTAAACTGCTTACTGCTGACTGGGGACGATGTTCATATACCATAGGGATCATGATAAAACATAAAAACCTGCCCAAGTCCTTGTAGTCTGTAAGGGTATATCGTCTCAGTTTCAGGGGAGGGTCTTGCTTGATCTTTAAGATTTAGTTAAAATAGATAGTTAGGATGTGACATAAGCAGATTGTTGTATCTTCTTATATTTCACCTTTATGATTGTTAATTTTGTATACTTTACACTGTTAAGGTTTTTTTAAATTTATTTATTAGTTCTAGTTAGGGAACAAGATGTTTCACATGTAAGTCCCTTCTCCCTCTCCCTCCCCTCACCCCCATCCCTCCTCCCCCACCCCCAGCGTACCC